AGATGGGACAAGTGCGGACAGCTTCCTTAGCGGCAGCGTCCGCATGCTCATCTAAAGAGACATCAATATGGCTGGGAACCCAGCAAAAAACGGTCTTGAATCAACTGGAGATAAGAAACAGCCAATGTTGAATCTCGATGACCACCGGATGGACTGGATTCAAGGACTGCAGAGCCATGAGGGCACTACCAGAGTCAACTACAACCACAAAGGAGGATTGACAGTGAGAAAGCAGGAGACGGAGAGCATAGAGAATAGCATAAAGTTCTGCTGTGAAGATGCTAGTCTCCGAAGGCAGGCAACACATAGGTGTGGTCAGGAAAAACAACAGTAGCCAACATTGTCTGCAGACTTTGACCCATCGATAAAGATGGAAACTGAGCAGGAATTTGAAGAAATGTGTTCAAGGAAAAGGCGTTTCAGAACTGTAGGAGGGGGGAAAAGCTTTAGTGATATGGGTCAGGGATTTGCAATATTGAGGAAGGGGGACCCTCCATGGGGGGCAAGGACTGAACAACACAAGGAGAAATATTAGTAATACTAACCGAAAGAGAATGTTGCAGGCGAGACAACCGGACAGAAAGAGGGAGATGGTGAAGGGGAACAGGAACTACAGGAGGGGTAAAAGTCACAGCACGACACAGGCGAGAGCAAGGGTGTTGTAAGGACCGCACAAGGTGGCGAAGACAGTAACAATTACGGCGGTCCTGGAGAGACAGGCAGCCAGTGTCAGCGTACTAGCTGAGGGCGGGAGTCGAACGAAAAGCACCAGAGCTGAGTCACAACCCAGCATGGTACAAAGGATCATGACGGCAAAGAGTAGGAGAAGCAGAAGAGTAAGCAGGGCAACCATAATCGAGTTTAGACAGTACGAGAGAGGAATGCAAAGAGGAGCGTGTGCCTATCCGCTCCTCAAGTAGTATGGGACAAAACCTTAAGTAGGTTAAGGGCCTTAGTGCATTCAACTCGGAGGTAAGAGATATGGGGCGACCAAGACAAACGAGTGTCAAGATTAACCCCAAAAGTTTCGGTTAATCTTTGTACACAAGGGGATGACCATAAAGCGACAAAGAGGGACGTAGAACGACATGCTTCCGAGTAAAAGGCATAACACAAGTCTTAGTTGCAGAGAACATGAAGCCATTATTGTTGGCCCAAGATGACACGGAATCAATCACAAGTTCAAGGAGAGGCAAATCATTACCTCGACTGCAAAGAGTAAGATCGTCGACATGGAGAGCAGAGAAGATGCCAGAAGGAAGGGAGGAATGAAGGCCATTAAGGGCAACCAGAAAGAGAGTAGTACTCAGAACGCTATCTTGGGGTACACCTTCGTTTTGCCGAAAAGAGGCAGAAAGAGTGGCCCCCAAACCTGACTCTAAAGGAACAACGAGAGAGGAAGCTTTGGAGGAAGAGACGGAGATTACCACGAAGGCCAAAAACGAAGTTGGGACAGAATATACTATCTCCAAGTCGTGTCAGGTCAAAAAGGACAGCAACAATGGAGGTCTTTGCAGCAAAAGCAGTACGAATATAGACCTCCAAGTTCACCAGGACATCAGTCGTGTTGCGGCACTTGCAAAAACCAAATTGAGAAGGAGAAAGGTGGTGATAGTGTTCCAAGAACCACAACAGACGAACATTTACCATACGCTCAAAGAGTTTGCAGACAAGTAGTAAGGGCAATAGAGTGGAAGTCCTTAGGGGATGTCCCGAGAGACTCTGGTTTCCGATTAGGGAGTACAACGGTATCGAACCAGTCCTCAGGGACGGACGACGACTCCCAGACCTGGTTATACAGACTCAGTATATACTGAGACATGCATTGAGGGAGATGGCGAAGCATCTTATAATGAAAGTCATCCACACCCGCTGCCATAGGACCGCAGAGAGCCAGGGCAGACTGAAGTTCAGAGAGAGTAGGGGTCGTTAAAGGGAAGATGGAGATGAGTGCGGAAATCTAAGGGATGAGATTCAAGAACGGGTTTACGAAGGAAAGAAGGATAGAGGAAGATAAGAATCAGAGCTAATAGTAGAAAAGTGGGAACCCAGTTCGGTCGTGATCTTCACTGGGTTGCCAGAAGAATACCACAGAGGTGAAGGACCGGCGAGACATCTGGAATGAACTTACTCTCTATCTTACAGATTTTCTTCCAGATCTGCGGCAGAGGAGTACCGGACGTAATGGTGGAAACACAAGATTTCCAACTCTCACGTTTAGCAGTACGGATGGTCCTACGGGTCACCACACTTGCCTTACAAAACAAAATAAAAGAATGAGCCGTCTGCTGGCGTCGGTGTTTCTTCCAGGCTGCACGCTTACAGCGAACAGCCGAGCACAGTTCGCATTCCACCAGGGAACTCACTTAGGGAACTCACTTCCGCGTGCCCTGGGAGGTAGAGCGGAGGGCAGCGTCAAAGATGGTGTCATGAAAAAGTAGGAAGGTATGAGGGAGAGGCAGAGAAGAGAGGTCAGAGAGAGTAGCACGGAGGGTGAAAAGGCGCCAGTCAGCGTTGGCAAACTGCCACCTAGGGAAGGAGAGAGGGTGAAAAAGGTAACAAGGATGGAGAAATGGTTACTGTTATAGAGGTAATCAAGAACCCGCCATGTGAAATCTAAATAAAGAGATGAGCAGAGAGAAAGGTCAAGACAGGAAAGGGTGCGAGCCCGAGAGTCCACATGAGTGGGTTCACCAGAATTCACAAGAGACAGGGAAGAAGAGAGGACAAACAGTTCGAGAAGACGGCCTCGGGTGTTTGTCAGAACATCACCCCAGAGGGTATGTCGACAGTTGAAATCACCCAACAGGAGCACAGGCTCCGACAAGGAGTCCAGTAGGTGCTTAAGATCAGGAAGAGAACGTGGGACATTTGGGGGGAGATAAATGGAACGAACTGTATACCATTTGCTCACAAAGACACGGGCAGCAGAACATTGGAGAGGCGATTGAAAAAGTAGGGGGACAAAGGGAATATTAGTACGAATTTAGATAGCAGTAGAGTTAAGGGCCCCAGCAAAAGCTGGAGGGTGGGGAGGAGAGAAAGGAATAACCACGAAAGTAACCAAGACGAGCACCAAGCATTGGTTCCCGGAGACATACACAAAGTGATGAAAACTGTGTAATCAGAAGTTAGAGTTCATGGAAGTTGGCATAAAATCCACGTATATTCCATTGAAGAATAGACATTGGCAAAGAGAGAAAGGACAGCAACAGTAACAATGAAGAAACAAAAGTAAAGAAGAACAACATATTAAATTAGCTCAGGATCAGGGTCAGGGTCAGGGTTAGGGGGCATGGGTAAACTGAGTAAGGATGGAGTGAAGGGAGCGGGAGGGCAGACCAGAGGTGGATGGTTAGGCTCCGGAGGAGGAGACAACCGAGAGGGGCGGTCAAGGACAGGAGAGGAAGGCCGGGGGGGGGGGGGGGGGGGGGGGGAGGAAGGAAAGGAATTATCAGGAGAAGCGCCAAGTCATTATGACTATATAGCACTGGGAAAGGGTCAGGATAAGGATTTGGGATGGAGCAGGGAGGGGAGGGAATGGTGCCCAACCACTTGGAAGGTCGGGGATTGAACGCCGATCTGCATAAAGTGAGACCGTCGCTCTACCGTCCAGCCCAAGTGGATGGGGGGGGGGGGAGGCAGAAACTGGGAAGCGCACCTCAGCAAGGGCAGCAACCGAGAGAATCAGGGGCTAAAGAAACCTCCATAACTGGGACGGGGTCCGACCACCGAAATGGAAAGGGACGAAGCGAGATAGTCAGAGGTGAGGGGGTGAGGAGAAAGCGATGCCTTCTTACTCGCTGGGGAGGACGAAAGAGAGGAGTCAGGCTTACGTTTCTGACTCAAAGAGACAGGTGTTCCAGCAACAACGTACTGGGCAACAGACTAATGTCTCAACAGAAGATGAACGGGAGGGAACAACATGAAGGTATCTGGGAGGATGATGGACATCAGCCTGGGCAGACAGGTGGCATGGAGGGTCAAGAGACTAGAGGGGGGGAGGGATGGGAAGAAGGATCGGGAAAAGAAGACAGACATGGCAGACTGGGTTGGAAGGGGGAAAACTCCAGATGGAAAACCAGGAGGGGGGGCCCCCTTCAGGACAGAATGTAAAAGAACGGGAGGCAGCGGTGGGCGTGTCTGGGTCTAAGGCCTGGAAATGGTTGTGAGACTGAGTTAGATGGGAAGGACGAGGAGAGGTAGAACGCAACACGCGAGCATAGGATGCACCAGTGAAAGGGGCAAGATGGCAAACTTGGCATCTCACTTCAGGAAAAGACGGACGATTCCGGTGTTTCAAGTTGAGGACGGCTTCCTCAAGTTTGTAGTGTATACACGAGCGAGAAAAGGTAGGGTGGAGCCTCACTGCAACTGAGGCAGCGCACCTGGGAAGACGAGCACTCTGGCTTAGAGTGATCATTTGCCCCACACATGGGGCATAGATACACAGTACTTGTGCATTTGAAGGCACCATGCCCGAACTTCCAGCAGTTATTGCAAAGTATAGGAGAGGGAATGTACTCCTGAATGGAGCATCTGGCACCAGCAAGAATTAGAGAGTGGAAGGGTCCTACTATCAACGGTGATTTTCACAAACTCAAGGGTCTGACGGCGACAACCACAAGAGGGTCGAGAAAACGCGTGTACCTGGAGGACAGAATGGCCGTGGGCTTCGAGGATATAGTACATGGGTGAAGCATTTACAGCGTTGCGGTTCGAACAGAGGTAGTGAACAAAGCACTTGTTCCAGAAGTGTTCGAACGTCATCAGTTGTGAGTCTAGTGTAAACCGTTGTTCATTCATAAACAGCTGGGGTTTGGCAGGTGCATGGAATGGTCTTTGGCCTTTGTTTAGTGGATGGGCTGATGACAACTGATGACGTCCGAAACGTTCCGATATCCCCCCTATGTGTGTGTGCACGTGTGTGTGTGTGTGTGTGTGTGTGTGCACGCGCGAGTGAGAGAAGAGAGAAGAGTGATGAACCTTGGAGTTCTGACCTCTGGCGGCCTCGGGGGGTTCAGGCAGCCACTCCATGGGTGTGGCACTCCGGCACTCACTGGTGGGGGACGCCGCCCCTCCTGACGACGACGCTGCTCCTCCTGATGACGATGATGCCGCCGCCGCTGTCTGAAACACACAAGCACCACGTTACTTAGAGTAGTGTGTGTTTGTTCATGCGTGCGTGGGTGGGTGGGTGGGTGGGTGGGTGTGCGTGCGTGCGTGGGTGGATGGGTGGGTGTGCGTGGGTTGTGCGTGTGTGGGTGGGTGGGTGGGTGTGCGTGGGTGGGTGGGTGTGGGTGGGTGGGTGGGTGGGTGGGTGGGTGGGTGGGTGGGTGGATGGGTGGGTGGGTGTGCATGCGTGCGTGGGTGGGTGGGTGCGTGGTGGGTGCGTGGGTGTGGTGGGTGTGCGTGTGTGGGTGGGTGGGTGTGCGTGCGTGGGTGGGTGGATGGGGGTGGGTGGGTGGGTGGGTGTGCGTGGGTGGGTTGTGCGTGCGTGGGTGGGTGGGTGGGTTGGGTGGGTGGGTGGGTGGGTGGGTGGGTGTGCGTGCGTGGGTGGGCGTGGTGGGTGGGTGCGTGGGTTGTGCGTGCGTGGGTGGGTGGTTGTGCGTGCGTGGGTGGGTGGGTGGGTGTGCGTGCGTGGGTGGGTGGGTGGGTGGGGGAGGGTGGTGAGTGTGTACTCGCCTAATTGTGTCTGCAGGATCGAGCATCGACTCTTGGATCCTGCCTTTCGAGCATTGGTTGTTTACAGCAATGACTATGGTCCTATTTCCCTATCATATCTAATTTTAAAATTATGAATGGTATTTGCTTCCACAACCTGTTCCTTAAGTGGATTCCACTTTCCCACTACTCTCACGCTAAAAGAAAACTTCCTAACATCTGACTCAGATGATTTTCCAGCTTCCACCCATGTCCCCTCGTTCTGTTACTATTCCGTGTGAACATTTCGTCTATGTCCACTCTGTCAATCCCTCCCCCCCCCCCCCCGAGTATTTTATACGTTCCTATCATGTTCTTTCCTCTCCCTTCTTCCTAGTGTCGTAAGGCACAGTTCCCTCAGGCACTCCTCATACCCCATCTTTCGTCTGAACCTTTTCCAGTTTCCTTATATGCTTCTTCAGATGGGGACTCCATGATGAGGCGGCATACTCTAAGACTGGCCTCACATAGGCAGTGTAAAGTGCCCTAAATGCATCCTTACTTAGGTTTCTGAATGATGTTCTAACTTTCGCCAGTGTAGAGTACGCTGCTGTCGTTATCCTATTTATATGTGCCTCAGGAGATAGATTAGGTGTTACGTCCACCCCCAGGTCTCTTTCGCGCGTCGTCACAGGTAGGCAGTTCGCCTTCATTGTGTACTGTCCCTTTGGTCTCCTATCTCCTAGTCCCATTTCCATAACTTTACATTTGCTCGTGTTGAACTCCAGTAGCCATTTCTCTGACCATCTCTGCAACTTGTTCGGGTCCTCTTGGAGGATCCTGCAATCCTCATCTGTCACAACTCTTCTCATCAACTTTGTATCATCCTCAAACATCGACGTGTAGGACTCTACTCCTGTAAACATGTCTTTAACATATACTAGAAATAGAATTGGTCCCAGCACCGATCCTTGAGATACTCCACTCGTTACTGTTCGCCAGTCCGACTTCTCGCCCCTTACCGTAACTCTTTGGCTCCTTCCTGTTAGGTAGTTCTTTATCCATGCTAGGACCTTTCCTCCCACCCCCGCCTGCCTCTCAAGTTTGAACAGCAGTCTCATGTGCGGAACTATATCAAAGGCTTTTTGGCTGTCCAGAAATATGCAGTCTGCCCAACCATCTCTGTCCTGTCTTATCCTCTTTATTTTATCATAAAATTCCAAAAAGTTTGCTAGGCATGATTTCCCTTTCCAGAACCCATGTTGATGTTTGTTCACAAACCTAATGTTCTCCAGGTGTGCAACCAGTCGTAGCCTAATTATTCTTTCCAGTATTTTACAGGGGATGCTTGTCAGTGATACAGGTCTATAGTTAAGTGCCTCCTCCCTATCGCCTTTCTTGAAGATCAGTATGACATTTGCCTTCTTCCAGCAATTGGGCAATTCTCCCAACACAAGTGACTCATTAAAGATCCTTGCCAGAGGTACGTTGAGGGCCTGCGCTGCCTCTTTTAGTATCCACGGTGATACTTTGTCTGGTCCAACTGCTTTAGTTGCATCTAGAGTTGTCAACTGTTTCATTACCTCCTCTGCTGTCACCTCTATATCTGATAGTCTTTCATCTAGGGTAACCCCTTCCAACAATGGGAGCTGCTCAGGCTCGGTAGTGAACACTCCATGGAAACTGGCATTCAGTGCCTCGCAGATTTCCTTGTCACTTTCAGTATATGCCCCCTCTGTCTTCCTTAGTCTTGTCACTTGGTCCTTCACCGACATTTTTCTTCTTATATGACTGTGTAGTAACTTAGGTTGTTTTTTCGCTTTGATTGCAATATCGTTCTCATAGTCCCTTTCCGATGTTCGTCTTATGTTAATGTAATCGTTCCTAGCTCTGTTGCATCTGATCCTGTTGTCCTCTGTCCTTTGTCTTCTGTACTTCCTCCACTCCCTCCTGCTGGCTATCTTTGCTTCCTGACACTGTCTATTAAACCATGGGTTATTATATTCCTTCTTATTTTTTCCCTTTACTGTTGGTATAAATCTCTCTTCGGCCTCCTGGCATTTCTGTATGACTAGGTCCATCATATCTTGGACTGTTTTTCCTCTAATTTCTTCCTCCCACTGCACTTCACCCAGATAGTCCCTTATCCTCATATAGTACCCTTTCCTGTAGTCAACTCTCCTTTCCCAGATCTCTTGTCCCATGGTCACAAGATTAGCTCCATCATGTAGTCAAAGACTAGGACACAATGGTCACTGGCCCCTAGAGGTATTTCATGTTCCAAATTCTCGATATCTTCTACGTTCTGGGTGAAAATCAGGTCTAATAGGCTCGGTGCATCTCCTCCTCTTTCCCTTGTGTCTTCCTTCACATGTTGTGTTAGGAAATTCCTGTCTATAACGTCTACTAACTTTGTGTGTGTGTGTGTGTGTGTGTGTGTGTGTGTGGGTGTGTGTGTGGTGTGTGTGGTGTGTGGGGGGGGGGGGAAGGGGGGGGGGGAGCATGGGGCCAGGACTGGTGTGTGGGGGAGAGCATGGAGCCAGGACTGGTGTGTGCGGGGAGGAGCATGGGGCCAGGACTGGTGTGTGGGGGGGGGAGCATGGGGCCAGGACTGATGTGTGTGGGGGAGGAGCATGGGGCCAGGACTGGTGTGTGTGGGGGGAGCATGGGGCCAGGACTGGTGTGTGTGGGGGGAGCATGGGGCCAGGACTGGTGTGTGTGGGGGGAGCATGGGGCCAGGACTGGTGTGTGTGGGGGGAGCATGGGGCCAGGACTGGTGTGTGTGGGGGAGCATGGGGCCAGGACTGGTGCGTGGGGGGAGCATGGGGCCAGGACTGGTGCGTTGGGGGTAGCATGGGGCCAGGACTGGTGCGTGGGGGGGGGGAAGCATGGAGCCAGGACTGGTGTGTGGGGGGGAGCAGTGGGGCCAGGACTGGTGTGTGTGGGGGGAGCATGGGGCCAGGACTGGTGTGTGTGGGGAGCATGGGGCCAGGACTGGTGCGTGGGGGGAGCATGGGGCCAGGACTGGTGCGTTGGGGGTAGCATGGGGCCAGGACTGGTGCGTGGGGGGGGGAAGCATGGAGCCAGGACTGGTGTGTGGGGGGGAGCAGGGGGCCAGGACTGGTGTGTGGGGGGAGCAGGGGGCCAGGACTGGTGTGGGGGGAGGATGGGGCCAGGACAGGTGTGTGGGGGGGAGGATGGGGCCAGGACTGGTGTGTGTGTGTGGGGGGGAGGATGGGGCCAGGACTGGTGTGGGGGGAGCATGGGGCCAGGACTGGTGTGTGTGGGGGAGCATGGGGCCAGAACTGGTGTGTGTGGGGGAGCATGTAGCCAGGACTGGTGTGTGTGGGGGAGCATGTAGCCAGGACTGGTGTGTGGGGGAGCATGGGGCCAGGACTGGTGTGTGTGGTGGAGCATGGGGCCAGGACTGGTGTGTGTGGAGGAGCATGGGGCCAGGACTGGTGTGTGTGGAGGAGCATGGGGCCAGGACTGGTGTGGGGGGGCCAGGACTGGTGTGGGGGGGCCAGGACTGGTGTGGGGGGCCAGGACTGGTGTGTGGGGGGGAGGATGGGGCCAGGACTGGTGTGTGGGGGGGAGGATGGGGCCAGGACTGGTGTGTGGGGGGGAGGATGGGGCCAGGACTGGTGTGTGGGGGGGGAGGATGGGGCCAGGACTGGTGTGTGGGGGGGGAGCAGGGGGCCAGGACTGGTGTGGGGGGGGAGCAGGGGGCCAGGACTGGTGTGTGGGGGGGAGGATGGGGCCAGGACTGGTGTGTGGGGGGGAGGATGGGGCCAGGACTGGTGTGTGGGGGGGAGGATGGGGCCAGGACTGGTGTGTGTGGGGGGGGGAGCATGGGGCCAGGACTGGTGTGTGTGGGGGAGCATGGGGCCAGGACTGGTGTGTGTGGGGGAGCATGTAGCCAGGACTGGTGTGTGTGGGGGAGCATGGGGCCAGGACTGGTGTGTGTGGAGGAGCATGGGGCCAGGACTGGTGTGTGTGGAGGAGAATGGGGCCAGAACTGGTGTGTGTGGAGGAGCATGGGGCCAGGGCTGGTGTGGGGGGCCAGGACTGGTGTGGGGGGCCAGGACTGGTGTGGGGGGCCAGGACTGGTGTGGGGGGCCAGGACTGGTGTGGGGGGCCAGGACTGGTGTGGGGGGCCAGGACTGGTGTGGGGGGCCAGGACTGGTGTGGGGGGTCAGGACTGGTGTGTGTGGAGGAGCATGGGGGTGGAGGAGCATGCTCACCTCAAGGCTCTTGAGCGTGTGGAGCACCATGCCCTCTACCGTCATGCCGAGGACCTTCTTGTTATCATGGGTGGTGACGACGGGCGGCGGGGCTGAGGTCATCATGATATAGTCGTCCTCAGAGCTCTCTCCTAGCGGGGTCGGCGGCGGCGCCTCGTCTGATACAACAACAACAACATTTAATACAATAACCCCAGAAATTAATCAATAAATCCTAGCAATAGATCTTCCTAATGTAACTATTGGTTTCGAATTAGGTACAGATTACAGACATTAAACATATATATTATTGCTCAATGATCTAGGAAGGTTAAGGCATGTAAGATAAGAACAAAGGTAACTGCAGAAGGCCTATTGGTCCATACGAGGCAGCTCCTATTGGTCCATACGAGGCAACTGCTATTGGTCCATACGAGGCAGCTGCTATTGGTCCATACGAGGCAGCTGCTATTGGTCCATACGAGGCAGCTGCTATTGGTCCATACGAGGCAGCTGCTATTGGTCCATACGAGGCAGCTGCTATTGGTCCATACGAGGCAGCTGCTATTGGTCCATACGAGGCAGCTGCTATTGGTCCATACGAGGCAGCTCCTATTGGTCCATACGAGGCAGCTCCTATTGGTCCATACGAGGCAGCTCCTATTGGTCCATACGAGGCAGCTCCTATTGGTCCATACGAGGCAGCTCCTATTGGTCCATACGAGGCAGCTCCTATTGGTCCACGAGGCAGCTCCTATTGGACCATACGAGGCAGCTCCTATTGGTCCATACGAGGCAGCTCCTATTGGTCCATACGAGGCAGCTCCTATTGGTCCATACGAGGCAGCTCCTATTGGTCCATACGAGGCAGCTCCTATTGGTCCATACGAGGCAGCTCCTATTGGTCCATACGAGGCAGCTCCTATTGGTCCATACGAGGCAGCTCCTATTGGTCCATACGGGGCAGATCCTGTTTATAACCACCCAATCCCACTCATATACATGTCCAACCCGCGCTTGAAACAATCGAGGGACCCCACCTCCACCACGTTACGCGGTAATTGGTTCCACAAATCAACAACCCTGTTACCAAACCAGTATTTACCCATGTCTTTCCTAAATCTAAACTTATCCAATTTATACCCATTGTTTCGTGTTCTGTCTTGTGTTGATATTTTTAATACCCTATTAATATTCCCCCTGTTATGTCCATTCACCCACTTGTAAACCTCTATCATGTCACCCCTAACTCTTCGCCTTTCCAGTGAATGCAACTTAAGCTTTGTTAATCTTTCTTCATATGAAAGATTTCTAATTTGGGGAATTAACTTAGTCATCCTACGCTGGACACGTTCAAGTGAATTTATATCCATTCTATAATATGGCGACCAAAACTGAACTGCATAATCTAAATGGGGCTTAACTAGAGCAAGATATAGCTTGAGAACCACACCAGGTGTCTTGTTACTAACGCTGCGATTAATAAATCCAAGTGTCCGATTTGCCTTATTACGAACATTTATGCATTGATCCTTTTGTTTTAAATTCTTACTAATCATAACTCCCAGATCCCTTTCGCAATCCGACTTCGCAATCTCAACACCATCTAGCTCGTATCTTGTAACTCTATCATCATTACCTAACCTCAGAACTTTACATTTATCAGCATTAAACTGCATCTGCCAATCCTTTGACCATTTCAAAACCCTATCTAGATCAACTTGAAGTGATAATGAATCTTTCTGTGTAAAATACGTCCCGATTTTCGTATCATCGGCAAATTTGCAAATATTGCTACTCAATATGCCTTCTGCAGTTACCTTTATTCTTATGTGTTTATGTTCTTAACGGGGCAGAGTGTCCAGTAACAGTGGTAGTGTGATACAGTTCACGGAACAAGCGATAGAAGAACATTTTAAATCACTAACAAGAACAGATGAACAGCTGGTCTCAACAATAACAAAACAAGAGAGAAAACGGGTGATTGCAGAGACTCGCAGACGCAGGGGAAACTGCGCCAATTTGGTGGCTCCCTTCCGGATCATCCCCACGCCCCTCACCCACAGTACCTACCCAGGAGGAGATCGTAGACATTGACCCTGTGGTTGACGCGGTGCTGGAGGCCGAGGTAGACGAGGGTGCGGGCGGCGTGGTGCTTGACGTAGCGGGCGTGTCTGGTGGAGTGGTTGGTGTAGAACCACTCGTCGGAGGGCAGGATGAGCTGCGTGAGGGCGTCGGGCACCTTGGCGGCCAGGAGCGCCTGGTGGTAGTGCGGGTTGAGCCCCAACGTCGCCACCACCTGCAGCACCGAGCACAGCAGTTGCTGCCGCAGGACGGACACGTGTTAGACACATCTTACACACGTGTTACGTGTTACACACGTGTTATGCTGGCGTTAAACACAAGGGAAGAAAATATATCATAAGGTATTAAATGAGAAAACTCCCAGGTGTCAGATCACCACCAGGAAGGGGGGGGGAGTGTCAGGTGTCAACAACAAGCAGTGTTGTGGAGCTCACCGGGTCGTGGGTGGTGTCGAGGGCGGCGACCAATGAGCGGAGGCGGTTCTCCTCCACCAGTTGTGATTGGATGGCCGGACAGTGGGTCATGAACAGCAATACTCTAGAACTGAGGATCTGCAGGCAGTGGGAGCGGCACTGGCGGAGCCTGTAGGTGGTAGATGGTGGTAGATGGTGGTAGATGCAGGCGATGAGTCACAATAACGTGGCTGAAGTATGTTGACCAGACCACACACTAGAAGTTGAAGGGACGACGACGTTTCGGTCCGTCCTCGACTATTCTCAAGTCGATCATTCTCACAATCTACTTGAAAATGGTCCAGGACGGACCGAAACGTCGTCGTCCCTTCAACTTCTAGCGTGTGGTCTGGTCAACATGGTGGTAGATGATGGTAGATGGTGGTAGGTAAGGGCCCAGTACTACCAACTGGACCTTCCCCAAACACTATGATAACTAAGTAACTATATTTAGTGTTCAATAACTAGTTTCCTCAAGGCTTTTACCATTATCAATTGTTTACAAAGTGTTACGAAGTGCAAACAGTAAGAAGTGTTACTCAGTATATATTAGTATTAATCAAAATGCTCTAGGATACCATATACTCTAGTGTACAATACTCTAGTATTACAGAGCCCCTGGCACTCACAGCCCCTGGCACTCACAGGCCCCTGGCACTCACAGGCCCCTGGCACTCACAGGCCCCTGGCACTCACCTCACAGCCCCCTGGCACTCACCTCACAGCCCCCTGACACTCACCTCACAGCCCCCTGGCACTCACCTCACAGCCCCCTGGCACTCACCTCACAGCCCCCTGGCACTCACCTCACAGCCCCTGGCAATCACCTCACAGCCCCCTGGCACTCGCCTCACAGGCCCCTGGCACTCGCCTCACAGGCCCCTGGCACTCGCCTCACAGGCCCCTGGCACTCGCCTCACAGGCCCCTGGCACTCGCCTCACAGGCCCCTGGCACTCACCTCACAGGCCCCTGGCACTCACCTCACAGGCCCCTGGCACTCACCTCACAGGCCCCTGGCACTCACCTCACAGGCCCCTGGCACTCACCTCACAGGCCCCTGGCACTCACCTCACAGGCCCCTGGCACTCACCTCACAGGCCCCTGGCACTCACCTCACAGGCCCCTGGCACTCACCTCACAGGCCCCTGGCACTCACCTCACAGCCCCCTGGCACTCACCTCACAGCCCCCTGGCACTCACCTCACAGCCCCTGGCACTCACCTCACAGCCCCTGGCACTCACCTCACAGCCCCCTGGCACTCACCTCACAGCCCCCTGGCACTCACCTCACAGCCCCCTGGCACTCACCTCACAGCCCCCTGGCACTCATCTCACAGCCCCTGGCACTCACCTCTGGCTGGGTTGGCACTGCTGCTTGGCTCCCACTGTCCGCTTGTGGAGAGTTATGGCGTTGTGCATCACGTTCAGTATGGAGACCGCGGATATGTTGGCCAGCGTCCCTGTAGGGTAGGAACATGTTGGTCAAGGCCCCTGTGGGGGGGGGGACATGTTGGTCAGGGTCCCTGTGGGGGGAACATGTTGGTCAAGGCCCCTGTGGGGGGGGGGACATGTTGGTCAAGGCCCCTGTGGGGGGGGGGACATGTTGGTCAGGGTCCCTGTGGGAGGAAACATGTTGGTCAAGGCCCCTGTGGGGGGGACATGTTGGCCAGCGTCCCTGTGGGAGGGAACATGTTGGTCAGGGTCCCTGTGGGGGGGGGAACATGTTGGTCAGGGCCCCTGTGGGGGGGGGAACATGTTGGTCAGGGTCCCTGTGGGGGGGACATGTTGGTCAGGGCCCCTGTGGGGGGGACATGTTGGTCAGGGCCCCTGTGGGGGGGGGGGGACATGTTGGTCAGGGTCCCTGTGGGGGGGGACATGTTGGTCAGGGCCCCTGTGGGGGGGAACATGCTGGTCAGGGCTCCTGTGGGGGGGAACATGTTGGTCAAGGCCCTGTGGGGGGACATGGTGGGAGGAACATGTTGGTCAGGGTCCCTGTGGGGGGGAACATGTTGGTCAGGGCCCCTGTGGGGGGGGACATGCTGGTCAGGGCCCCTGTGGGGGGGAACATGTTGGTCAGGGTCCCTGTGGGGGGGAACATGTTGGTCAGGGCTCCTGTGGGGGGGAACATGTTGGTCAGGGCCCCTGTGGGGGGGGGGAACATGTTGGTCAGGGCCCCTGTGGGGGGGGGGGGAACATGTTGGTCAGGGTCCCTGTGGGGGGGACATGTTGGTCAGGGCTCCTGTGGGGGGGGGAACATGTTGGTCAGGGCCCCTGTGGGGGGGAACATGTTGGTCAGGGTCCCTGTGTGGGGGGAACATGTTGGTCAGGGCCCCTGTGGGGGGTGGGGGAAATGTTGGTCAGGGTCCCTGTGGGGGGGAACATGTTGGTCAGGGCCCCTGTGGGGAGGGACATGTTGGTCAGGGTCCCTGTGGGGGGGAACATGTTGGTCAGGGCCCCTGTGGGGGGGGACATGTTGGTCAGGGTCCCTGTGGGGGGGACATGTTGGTCAAGGCACCTGTGGGGGGGGGACATGTTGGTCAGGGTCCCTGTGGGGGGGGGGGAACATGTTGGTCAGGGCCCCTGTGGGGGGGAACATGTTGGTCAGGGCCCCTGTGGGGGGGACATGTTGGTCAGGGTCCCTGTGGGGGGGAACATGTTGGTCAGGGTCCCTGTGGGGGGGACATGTTGGTCAGGGCTCCTGTGGGGGGGAACATGTTGGTCAAGGCCCCGGTGGGGGGGAACATGTTGGTCAGGGCCCCTGTGGGGGGGGGAACATGTTGGTCAGGGTCCCTGTGGGGGGGACATGTTGGTCAGGGCCCCTGTGGGAGGGAACATGCTGGTCAGGGCTCCTGTGGGGGGGGGGGACATGTTGGTCAAGGCCCCGGTGGGGGGAACATGTTGGTCAGGGCCCCTGTGGGGGGGAACATGTTGGTCAGGGTCCCTGTGGGGGGGACATGTTGGTCAGGGCTCCTGTGGGGGGGAACATGTTGGTCAGGGCCCCTGTGGGGGGGGGGAACATGTTGGTCAGGGCCCCTGTGGGGGGGGGGAACATGTTGGTCAGGGCTCCTGTGGGGGGGGGACATGTTGGTCAGGGCTCCTGTGGGGGGGAACATGTTGGTCAGGGCCCCTGTGGGGGGGAACATGTTGGTCAGGGTCCCTGTGTGGGGGGAACATGTTGGTCAGGGCCCCTGTGGGGGGGGGACATGTTGGTCAGGGTCCCTGTGGGGGGGAACATGTTGGTCAGGGCCCCTGTGGGGGGGGACATGTTGGTCAGGGTCCCTGTGGGGGGGAACATGTTGGTCAGGGCCCCTGTGGGGGGGGGGAACATGTTGGTCAGGGTCCCTGTGGGGGGGGAACATGTTGGTCAGGGTCCCTGTGGGGGGGGGGGAACATGTTGGTCAGGGTCCCTGTGGGGGGGAACATGTTGGTCAGGGCCCCTGTGGGGGGGAACATGTTGGTCAGGGTCCCTGCGAGGGGGAACATGTTGGCCAGGGCCCCTGTGGGGGGGGGGGAACATGTTGGCCAGGGCCCCTGTGGGGGGGAACATGCTGGCCAGGGCCCCTGTTGGGGGGGGAACATGTTGGTCAGGGCCTCTGTGGGGGGGAACATGTTGGTCAGGGCCCCTGTGGGGGGGAACATGTTGGTCAGGGTCCCTGTGGGGGGGAACATGTTGGCCAGGGCCCCTGTGGGGGGGGAACATGTTGGTCAGGGTCCCTGTGGGGGGGAACATGTTGGTCATGGCCCCTGTGGGGTGGGGGGGGGAACATGTTGGTCAGGGCCCCTGTGGGGGGGAACATGTTGGTCAGGGCCCCTGTGGGGGGGCCCCCCACTAAATCCCAATAATCCCAACATTCTCACAAAATATCCACGTTTTCTATACGTAGTCTGGTTAGGTTAGGTAAGTGGCTTGGGTTCACGCGTTAAGGTTAGTACGGTGAAAATTGCACGTTGTGGCACGTGTAGAGACCTACATTAACAGGCCGTAAAGTATCAGGAGGTATGATAGTTTAGGACGTACCGATAATGGTGGTGTTGTGGTGGGCGGCGTCGGTGTGGGCGGCGTCGGTGTGGGCGGCGGCGTCGGTAGAGGTGCTGTGGTAGCGCCACAGGAGCAGCCACTGGCCGTAGTGGGTGAGGCCGCCCCTGCCAGGGACGGTGTCAGGGGTGCCCATGGTGCTGGAGCTGCCCTCCCCGCTGCCCACACTGCCCGCACGACTGTTCTGCCGGGCCAGGCGGCACCCTGGCACCGCCCTCTTCACCTTCCTGGGTCACAACACTCACATTGTACAACCACCATTTACTAAATATACAATAAATCACTTTTATACAAATGATAAAATTTATTATAGTCACATTGTGATGTATATCAAGCAGTGAGACGACTCGAACCCGCGTCAAGGATACTCTAGACGACTTCGTCTCCTGCTAGCCAAGGCCTTCAACTTGCCCAAATGTTACACTTTACCCTGATGTACCCCCCCCCCCCCTCCCTGTCATGCTGGGGGGGGGTAATCGCCCTCATTAATATCCAGTAAATAAGTTCTCAAGGCATAAAATAAAGTTATAAATTTAGACCAAATTTACTGAAAATTCTTCAATTAATTAAACACAACAAATTAATTCATTACTCAAAAGGACAATAAAAAATATCTTATATCTGTGGTATTGTTGCTGTCGTTCCAAAGTAATTGGTGGATGGGAAGGATCACTTGTACAGTCAGTGACTGCTCTCTCCACCTCCCGTCACCTATACTATTATATATATAAACATTACTACTGTTACAACGTCCTCTCATATTTCTCCCCAGTGGCAGCGTTAAGAGTCATATCCACTTACCTGGCAGGTTCCCAGAGGTGCAGGGAGTCATTTGATATGAGAGGCTACTGAATACATTACATATTTATGGAGAAATTATCAAATTTTAAGTTTTGCAGGTAAGGGGGGCTTATGCCCCTAATACATTCAAAATGGCGACATGTCTAGGATTTTGGCGCCTAGACGTGAGGCGCCAGCTGGCTAGCGATTGGCTGGTTGAGATCACGTAACGTGGCTGACCAATCAGAGCCAACTGTGACGTCACTGGGAAGCCTGGCACAGGACGGCAGGTCACTGCGCCAGCCAGAGTGCCACAGATCTTTGACGCGAGTGGAAGTGCGTCAATGAGCTCTCGAGATTGAAGGTCCTGGGAACCTCGCTTAGTGGATTTGAGCAGCCATCGCAGTCTACCATTGTCGCAGAGGAATAGGTGCTCCTGGGAGTATGGAGAAGCCGAGTTTAGTGGGCAAACAAGTGCCAAGTACTCGTGGCTATTAGTCGTGGACGGAGGGTGAGCGGCGACACAGTGAGGCCAAGTTGTGGCGCCCTGGTACGACGTCCAGTGCTGTTGTCATTGTCACATCTACTGAAGTTCTGGAGTGAAGACACTCAATCCGGATCCAAGATCATGGGTTCGTATCCTGGCCGGGGAGGATTTACTGGGCACAAATCCTTAACTGTAGCCTCTGTTTAACAACAGTAAAATGTGTACTTGGTTGTAACAACGATTCTTCGCGGCGGGGATCGTATTCCAGGGACCTGCCCGAAACGCTACGCGTACTAGTGGCTCTACAAGAATGTAACAACTCTTGTATATATCTCTAAAAATAGAGAAAACGTCTCATTGAAGGCGCGAGTGCGGACAGTGACAAGCTCCGTGACCAATGGTTGCACCAGCTCAGAAAACCTGAAGCCAAGGATTAGTAGGTACGGCAGTGACGCGAGTTCTGCACGACGCCCGAGCACCTGTGAGACAAGAGGAACGCCGAGGAGCGACCTGGGCACCGAGGAGCCACCTGGGCACCGTGTACCTTCTACCATGGTGGACAGGCGTCGATGGACAGGTTATCTTCTTCTTGAGGTTATCTTGAGACGATTTCGGGGCTTTAGTGTCCCCGCGGCCCGGTCCTCGACCAGGCCTCCACCCCCAAGGAAGCAGCCCGTGACAGCTGACTAACAACCAGGTACCTTTTACTGCTAGGTAACAGGAGCATAGGGTGAAAGAAACTCTGCCCATTGTTTCTCGCCGGCGCCCGGGATCGAACCGGGGACCACAGGATCACAAGTCCAGTGTGCTGTCCGCTCGGCCGACCGGCTCCCTCCGGGGTGCAGTTACACACCCCAGTTGACGACCTGACGAGTAGTTGAGTGACACAGGTGCGTGACGGGTGACCTGTGAGCCTTCGTTATGGCAGGCAAGACAGAGGAAGTGCTGTAGCCGCATGAAGCGACGTCTTGAGGTTAGTAGTGCGTCTTCCATGACTCTTCCGTGGGACAAGACCAGATCGCTAGTGGCGGTTCACCCGTAGGTTGGCCTGACGGGCTCCCAGAGCGATCAGCCAGGTGTGACGGAGCAAAGCCCCGCGGTGGTGGGCATTGTGGTGGTGGTGTGGTACTGAGGAAGTCTTGGTTGTAGGGTTGATATAGAGCCATTGCTTCGTTACTGACTTTCATACTTGTAATGGTACAGAACTAGCAGCTACCAAGCTTGGCGGGTGTCTTGTACCCTCTCTCTTTACTGCGGCCGTATGAAACGCACCGCATACAATTTTTTTTTTTTTTTTTTTTTTTTTTTTTTTTTTTTTTTTTTGAGATATATAGAAGAGTTGTTACATGGTTGTAGAGCCACTAGTACGCGTAGCGTTTCGGGCAGGTCCCTGGAATACGATCCCCGCCGCGAAGAATCGTTGTTACAACCAAGTACACATTTTACTGTTGAGTTAAACAGAGGCTACAGTTAAGGATTTGCGCCCAGTAAATCCTCCCCGGCCAGGATACGAACCCATGACATAGCGCTCGCGGAACGCCAGGCGAGTGTCTTACCACTACACCACGGAGACAAATGGATGATGCCGTTTGATATGACATGACAGGCTTGGTGTGGTCCTCATCTTGCGTACCGATACACACACCAGTAAGGCACCTCCACCACAACAGGCAGCCGAGCGGACAGCACACTGTACTTGTGATCCTGTGGTCCCGGGTTCGATCCCGGGCGCCGGCGAGAAACAATGGGCAAAGTTTCTTTCACCCTATGCTCCTGTTACCTAGCAGTAAAATAGGTACCTGGGTGTTAGTCAGCTGTCACGGGCTGCTTCCTGGGGGTGGAGGCCTGGTAGAGGACCGGGCCGCGGGGACACTAAAGCCCAGAAATCCTCTCAAGATAACCAAGATAACCTCACCCCCCCCCCCTTGTAACGCTACATATATTTACTACATACGTAATCATCTCTGCAGCGGTATCACCAACTCGTATCAGCGAAAGCTTCCACTCTCACAATCAACCTAAAATGGCTTAATATATTACCCTGATACTGATAATTCCAATATTTGTCTCTCAGAAATATATAAGAATAGACATTAATTATTCAATGATTTACTAATTTGGTTTAGGTTAAAACGACAGTGTATAACAGTCTTGGAATTATCAGCTAAATGATAACTATATAATTGATGTTAATTAACACTATATATCAACACCATAATTGGCAGGTGGCCTATACTCTCAGGTGGATGTGTGAGGCGGGTACACACCAGTCTAGATCCACCCCAATAGAGGATAGGTCCCCTAGATCCACCCCAGTAGTGGATAGGTCAGCCTAGGTCCACCCCTGTAGTGGATAGGTCCCCTTAGATCCACCCCAGTAGTGGATAGGTCCCCTTAGATCCACCCCAGTAGTGGATAGGTCCACCTAGATCCACCCCAATAGAGGATAGGTCCCCTAGATCCACCCCAGTAGTGGATAGGTCCGCCTAGATCCACCCCAGTAGTGGATAGGTCCCCTTAGATCCACCCCAGTAGTGGATAGGTCCGCCTAGGTCCACCCCAGTAGTGGATAGGTCCCCTTAGATCCACCCCAGTAGTGGATAGGAACACCTAGATCCACCCCAATAGTGGATAGGTCCCCTAGATCCACCCCAGTAGTGGATAGGTCCGCCTAGGTCCACCCCAGTAGTGGATAGGTCCCCTTAGATCCACCCCAGTAGTGGATAGGTCCACCTAGATCCACCCCAATAGAGGATAGGTCCCCTAGATCCACCCCAGTAGTGGATAGGTCCGCCTAGATCCACCCCAGTAGTGGACAGGTCCCCCTAGATCCACCCCAGTAGTGGATAGGTCCACCTAGATCCACCCCAGTAGTGGATAGGTTCACCTGGATCCACCCCAGTAGTGGATAGGTCCACCTAGATCCACCCCAGTAGTGGATAGGTCCACCTAGATCCACCCCAGTAGTGGATAGGAACACCTAGATCCACCCCAGTAGTGGACAGGTCCACTTAGATCCACCCCAGTAGTGGATAGGTCCACCTAGATCCACCCAGTAGTGGACAGGTCCCCCTAGATCCACCCCAGTAGTGGACAGGTCCCCCTAGAGCCACCCCAGTAGTGGACAGGTCCCCCTAGATCCACCCCAGTAGTGGATAGGTCCCCCTAGATCCACCCCAGTAGTGGATAGGTCCACCTAGATCCACCCAGTAGTGGACAGGTCCACCTAGATCCACCCCAGTAGTGGATAGGTCCCCCTAGATCCACCCCAGTAGTGGACAGGTCCACTTAGATCCACCCCAGTAGTGGATAGGTCCACCTAGATCCACCCAGTAGTGGACAGGTCCACCTAGATCCACCCCAGTAGTGGATAGGTCCCCCTAGATCCACCCAGTAGTGGACAGGTCCACTTAGATCCACCCCAGTAGTGGATAGGTCCACCTAGATCCACCCCAGTAGTGGACAGGTCCACTTAGATCCACCCCAGTAGTGGATAGGTCCACCTAGATCCACCCAGTAGTGGACAGGTCCACCTAGATCCACCCCAGTAGTGGATAGGTCCCCCTAGATCCACCCCAGTAGTGGACAGGTCCACTTAGATCCACCCCAGTAGTGGATAGGTCCACCTAGATCCACCCAGTAGTGGACAGGTCCACCTAGATCCACCCCAGTAGTGGATAGGTCCCCCTAGATCCACCCAGTAGTGGACAGGTCCACCTAGATCCACCCCAGTAGTGGATAGGTCCCCCTAGATCCACCCCAGTAGTGGATAGGTCCACCTAGATCCACCCAGTAGTGGACAGGTCCACCTAGATCCACCCCAGTAGTGGATAGGTCCCCCTAGATCCACCCCAGTAGTGGACAGGTCCACTTAGATCCACCCCAGTAGTGGATAGGTCCACCTAGATCCACCCAGTAGTGGACAGGTCCACCTAGATCCACCCCAGTAGTGGATAGGTCCCCCTAGATCCACCCAGTAGTGGACAGGTCCACTTAGATCCACCCCAGTAGTGGATAGGTCCACCTAGATCCACCCCAGTAGTGGACAGGTCCACTTAGATCCACCCCAGTAGTGGACAGGTCCACTTAGATCCACCCCAGTAGTGGATAGGTCCACCTAGATCCACCCAGTAGTGGACAGGTCCACCTAGATCCACCCCAGTAGTGGATAGGTCCCCCTAGATCCACCCCAGTAGTGGACAGGTCCACTTAGATCCACCCCAGTAGTGGATAGGTCCACCTAGATCCACCCAGTAGTGGACAGGTCCACCTAGATCCACCCCAGTAGTGGATAGGTCCCCCTAGATCCACCCAGTAGTGGACAGGTCCACCTAGATCCACCCCAGTAGTGGACAGGTCCCCCTAGATCCACCCCAGTAGTGGATAGGTCCCCCTAGATCCACCCCAGTAGTGGATAGGTCCACCTAGATCCACCCAGTAGTGGATAGGTCCACCTAGATCCACCCCAGTAGTGGATAGGTCCACCTAGATCCACCCCAGTAGTGGATAGGTCCACCTAGATCCACCCCAGTAGTGGATATGTCCACCTAGATCCACCCCAGTAGTGGATAGGTCCACCTAGATCCACCCCAGTAGTGGATAGGTCCGCCTAGATCCACCCCAGTAGTGGATAGGTCCACCTAGATCCACCCCAGTAGTGGATAGGTCCACCTAGATCCACCCCAGTAGTGGATAGGTCCGCCTAGATCCATAGATATCATTACTTGGTCTGGAGGTAGGAGATTTTGTTTTATACCAGGGGCAGGGCGCCCCCCTAGTGAAGGGGGTAGACCACAGTGTCAACACCCAGTATACCAGGGGCAGGGCGCCCCCCTAGTGAAGGGGGTAGACCAGAGTGTCAACACCCAGTATACTAGGGGCAGGGCGCCCCCCTAGTGAGCGGTAGACCAGAGTGTCAACACCCAGTATACTAGGGGCAGGGGCCCCCCTAGTGAGCGGTAGACCACAGTGTCAACAGTATTTAACTCGAGGAACACTCAAAACCTGTTTAAGCAACTTAAAAAGACTAACAAAAGTTTGCCGTAAGACTCTTCACTTAGTCCCAATGTAAACATTGGCCGCCATCTTTGTTTACATAATGATCAGAGAAAACAGAGAAGCCTTCATGCCAGGGGGGACAATAGCAAAATTCCTTCCGTTTACATAATCCTGGAAATGTAATGCGGCGAATTGCCTTGATCCACTCAAGGCCTACGAGTGCCTGAATACACACGCACTCGAGGTCTGTGAGTGCCTGAATACACATGCACTCACAGGCCTGTGAGTGCATGATACAGACACTGAACTGGATAACAAATACGATGTCGGAATGACCTCTGTAAACAGCTGGGATCAGCTGCCAGCAACACAAAACTCTGCAGGGGGAAGGGTGTGGGGTATGGGACGAACATAGGATGGTAGGACTTCTTTCTCTCCTTACAAGAGGGGGGTCGGGCCCCCCACCGACCCCCCATGGGGGAGGGGGGGCCCACTCCAGGGCCCTCATGACCTACCTGTCGGAGCCCGGGGGCAGAAGATGGTTGTCCGGGTCAATCACCAGGTCGCCGATGCGGTGAACGACAGCGGCGTCGATGATCTTGTTCAATGTGGTCATGGAGGTGAACTGTAGCTCCTGGACCCCCGCCAGGAGGGCCGCACACAGCCGCACCATCAGACACATGGCTGCGGCCGCCTCCCGCCGCCCCGTACTTGAACCCGCAAGGGACGGTGCGGCTGCCGCAGCCCCGTCGGTACTGCTGGACTCGCTGCTGCCGCTGCCGCAGAGAACTTCCAGAATGTTCTGTGGAACACAAAGGGGGGGGGGAGATTAGTGCCTCGTTGGTGAACATTATGTCAATGGTTAATGGTTTGTTCAACCCGATGTTATTGGTTGTGAAGCTGTGACAGTATTGGGCAGCGCCACTCATCCTGTGAGTGGACACACCACCATAGTGACAGTATTGGGCAGCGTCACTCATCCTGTGAGTGGACACACCACCATAGTGACAGTATTGGGCAGCGTCACTCATCCTGTGAGTGGACACACCGCCATAGTGACAGTATTGGGCAGCGTCACTCATCCTGTGAGTGGACACACCGCCATAGTGACAGTATTGGGCAGCGTCACTCATCCTGTGAGTGGACACACCGCCATAGTGACAGTATTGGGCAGCGTCACTCATCCTGTGAGTGGACACACCGCCATAGTGACAGTATTGGGCAGCGTCACTCATCCTGTGAGTGGACACACCGCCATAGTGACAGTATTGGGCAGCGTCACTCATCCTGTGAGTGGACACACCGCCATAGTGACAGTATTGGGCAGCGTCACTCATCATGTGAGTGGACACACCGCCATAGTGATAGTATTGGGCAGCGCCACTCATCCTGTGAGTGGACACACCGCCATAGTGACAGTATTGGGCAGCGCCACTCATCCTGTGAGTGGACACACCGCCATAGTGACAGTATTGGGCAGCGCCACTCATCCTGTGAGTGGACACGCCGCCATAGTGACAGTATTGGGCAGCGTCACTCATCCTGTGAGTGGACACGCCGCCATAGTGACAGTATTGGGCAGCGCCACTCATCCTGTGAGTGGACACGCCGCCATAGTGACAGTATTGGGCAGCGCCACTCATCCTGTGAGTGGACACACCGCCATAGTGACAGTATTGGGCAGCGTCACTCATCCTGTGAGTGGACACACCGCCATAGTGACAGTATTGGGCAGCGTCACTCATCCTGTGAGTGGACACACCGCCATAGTGACAATATTGGGCAGCGTCACTCATCCTGTGAGTGAACACACCGCCATAGTGACAGTATTGGGCAGTGTCACTCATCCTGTGAGTGGACACACCGCCATAGTGAAGTTAGTGGTCATGCTGTGGTCAGTGGTTATAAGACGATATAATAATTGTAGTTCCTATACTTTGGAGGAAATGTAATTTTCAGATCTGTTCCGACATCATTCCGACCGATCGTAAGTGGTTGGGCACCCATTCCTTCCTCATCCCAAACCCCTATCCCTTCCCAGTGCTATATAGTCGTAATGGCTTGGCACTTTCTCCCAGTAGTTGCCTTGCAATGAATAATGCAACATTTTAAGGCACAGAATCCCACCGCTGCCACCATTGGCGGAGCAAGTAATTATATTATACAACGCACCAAAGTGGATAGACTCGACTACCACTCCCCGTAAAGGTGGTGGCAGAGATGGGGAGACTACGGGTCCCAAAGGGGGTAGCTTAGTGGGCTACACGTTAGAGGTAAGAGCTCTAGGATGTGGCAGGAGCCTCACTCAGCGTGATTACTCTCCCGGCTTCTCCTGGCCCTCGGAAACAATCAGTGGCAAGCAATTGGCTTCACTGAATGTCAGTACAGGTTGTCTCAGTGCCAGGTCAGCTTTAAGCCCCGTGGCCTGCATGACCTTGTCTCTCTATCACAGGTGACCCCCCTAGTTACAGGTCAGGGGGGTGGATTACCCCCCTAGTTACAGGTCAGGGGGGTGGATTACCCCCTAGTTACAGGTCAGGGGGGTGGATTACCCCCTAGTTACAGGTCAGGGGGGTGGATTACCCCCCTAGTTACAGGTCAGGGGGGTGGATTACCCCCCTAGTTACAGGTCAGGGGGGTGGATTACCCCCCTAGTTACAGGTCAGGGGGGGGGTGGATTACCCCCCTAGTTACAGGTCAGGGGGTGGATTACCCCCCTAGTTACAGGTCAGGGGGGCGGATTACCCCCCCAGTTACAGGTCAAGGGGGGGTGGATTACCCCCTAGTTACAGGTCAGGGGGGGGGTGGATTACCCCCCTAGTTACAGGTCAGGGGGGGAGTGGATTACCCCCCTAGTTACAGGTCAGGGGGGTGGATTACCCCCCTAGTTACAGGTCAAGGGGGGGTGGATTACCCCCTAGTTACAGGTCAGGGGGGTGGATTACCCCCCTATTTACAGGTCAGGGGGGTGACCCCCCCCCCCTTAGTTACAGGTCAGGGGTGAGGTCCCGGCGACCCTCACAAGGTCCCCAGCCCCACCAGTGACCTCCACAAGGTCCCCACCAGTGACCTCCACAAGGTCCCCAGCCCCACCAGTGACCCCCACAAGGTCCCCAGCCCCACCAGTGACCACCACAAGGTCCCCAGCTCCACCAGTGACCACCACAAGGTCCCCACCAGTGACCTCCACAAGGTCCCCACCAGTGACCTCCACAAGGTCCCCACCAGTGACCTCCACAAGGTCCCCACCAGTGACCTCCACAAGGTCCCCACCAGTGACCTCCACAAGGTCCCCACCAGTGACCTCCACAAGGTCCCCACCAGTGACCTCCACAAGGTCCCCACCAGTGACCTCCACAAGGTCCCCACCAGTGACCTCCACAAGGTCCCCACCAGTGACCTCCACAAGGTCCCCACCAGTGACCTCCACAAGGTCCCCACCAGTGACCTCCACAAGGTCCCCACCAGTGACCTCCACAAGGTCCCCACCAGTGACCTCCACAAGGTCCCCACCAGTGACCTCCACAAGGTCCCCACCAGTGACCTCCACAAGGTCCCCACCAGTGACCTCCACAAGGTCCCCACCAGTGACCTCCACAAGGTCCCCACCAGTGACCTCCACAAGGTCCCCACCAGTGACCTCCACAAGGTCCCCACCAGTGACCTCCACAAGGTCCCCACCAGTGACCTCCACAAGGTCCCCACCAGTGACCTCCACAAGGTCCCCACCAGTGACCTCCACAAGGTCCCCACCAGTGACCTCCACAAGGTCCCCACCAGTGACCTCCACAAGGTCCCCACCAGTGACCTCCACAAGGTCCCCAGTGACCTCCACAAGGTCCCCAGTGACCCCCACCCCAGCCCCACCAGGTCCCCAGCCCCACCACCAGTGACCACCACAAGGTCCCCAGCTCCACCAGTGACCACCACAAGGTCCCCAGCTCCACCAGTGACCACCACAAGGTCCCCAGCCCCACCAGTGACCTCCACAAGGTCCCCACCAGTGACCTCCACAAGGTCCCCACCAGTGACCTCCACAAGGTCCCCACCAGTGACCTCCACAAGGTCCCCACCAGTGACCTCCACAAGGTCCCCACCAGTGACCTCCACAAGGTCCCCACCAGTGACCTCCACAAGGTCCCCACCAGTGACCTCCACAAGGTCCCCACCAGTGACCTCCACAAGGTCCCCACCAGTGACCTCCACAAGGTCCCCACCAGTGACCTCCACAAGGTCCCCACCAGTGACCTCCACAAGGTCCCCAGTGACCTCCACAAGGTCCCCACCAGTGACCTCCACAAGGTCCCCACCAGTGACCTCCACAAGGTCCCCACCAGTGACCTCCACAAGGTCCCCACCAGTGACCTCCACAAGGTCCCCACCAGTGACCTCCACAAGGTCCCCACCAGTGACCTCCACAAGGTCCCCACCAGTGACCTCCACAAGGTCCCCACCAGTGACCTCCACAAGGTCCCCACCAGTGACCTCCACAAGGTCCCCACCAGTGACCTCCACAAGGTCCCCAGCCCCACCAGTGACCTCCACAAGGTCCGCAGCCCCACCAGTGACCCCCACAAGGTCCCCAGCCCCACCAGTGACCACCACAAGATCCCCAGCCCCACCAGTGACCACCACAAGGTCCCCAGCCCCACCAGTGACCACCACAAGGTCCCCAGCCCCACCAGTGACCACCACAAGGTCCCCAGCCCCACCAGTGACCTCCACAAGGTCCCCAGCCCCACCACTGACCACAAGGTCCCCAGCCTCACCACTGACCACCACAAGGTCCCCAGCCCCACCAGTGACCTCCACAAGGTCCCCACCAGTGACCTCCACAAGGTCCCCACCAGTGACCTCCACAAGGTCCCCACCAGTGACCTCCACAAGGTCCCCACCAGTGACCTCCACAAGGTCCCCACCAGTGACCTCCACAAGGTCCCCACCAGTGACCTCCACAAGGTCCCCACCAGTGACCTCCACAAGGTCCCCACCAGTGACCTCCACAAGGTCCCCACCAGTGACCTCCACAAGGTCCCCACCAGTGACCTCCACAAGGTCCCCACCAGTGACCTCCACAAGGTCCCCACCAGTGACCTCCACAAGGTCCCCACCAGTGACCTCCACAAGGTCCCCACCAGTGACCTCCACAAGGTCCCCACCAGTGACCTCCACAAGGTCCCCACCAGTGACCTCCACAAGGTCCCCACCAGTGACCTCCACAAGGTCCCCACCAGTGACCTCCACAAGGTCCCCACCAGTGACCTCCACAAGGTCCCCACCAGTGACCTCCACAAGGTCCCCACCAGTGACCTCCACAAGGTCCCCACCAGTGACCTCCACAAGGTCCCCACCAGTGACCTCCACAAGGTCCCCACCAGTGACCTCCACAAGGTCCCCACCAGTGACCTCCACAAGGTCCCCACCAGTGACCTCCACAAGGTCCCCACCAGTGACCTCCACAAGGTCCCCACCAGTGACCTCCACAAGGTCCCCACCAGTGACCTCCACAAGGTCCCCACCAGTGACCTCCACAAGGTCCCCAGCCCCACCAGTGACCCCCACAAGGTCCCCAGCCCCACCAGTGACCACCACAAGGTCCCCAGCTCCACCAGTGACCACCACAAGATCCCCAGCCCCACCAGTGACCACCACAAGGTCCCCAGCCCCACCAGTGACCTCCACAAGGTCCCCAGCCCCACCAGTGACCACCACAAGGTCCCCAGCCCCACCAGTGACCACCACAAGGTCCCCAGCCCCACCAGTGACCACCACAAGGTCCCCAGCCCCACCAGTGACCACCACAAGGTCCCCAGCCCCACCAGTGACCTCCACAAGGTCCCCAGCCCCACCACTGACCACAAGGTCCCCAGCCTCACCACTGACCACCACAAGGTCCCCAGCCCCACCAGTGACCTCCACAAGGTCCCCACCAGTGACCTCCACAAGGTCCCCAGCCCCACCAGTGACCCCCACAAGGTCCCCAGCCCCACCACTGACCACCACAAGGTCCCCAGCCCCACCAGTGACCTCCACAAGGTCCCCACCAGTGACCTCCACATGGTCCCCACCACTGACCTCCACAAGGTCCCCAGCCCCACCACTGACCACCACTAGGTCCCCAGCCCGACCAGTGACCACCACAAGGTCCCCAGCCCCACCACTGACCACCACAAGGTCCCCAGCCCCACCACTGACCACCACAAGGTCCCCAGCCCCACCAGTGACCTCCACAAGGTCCCCACCAGTGACCTCCACAAGGTCCCCTCCAGTGACCCCCACAAGGTCCCCACCAGTGACCTCCACAAGGTCCCCACCAGTGACCCCCACAAGGTCCCCAGCCCCACCAGTGACCTTTACAAGGTCCCCAGCCCCACCAGTGACCCCCACAAGGTCCCCAGCCCCACCAGTGACCCCCACAAGGTCCCCAGCCCCACCAGTGACCTCCACAAGGTCCCCAGCCCCACCAGTGACCTCCACAAGGTCCCCAGCCCCACCAGTGACCTCCACAAGGTCCCCAGCCCCACCAGTGACCTCCACAAGGTCCCCAGCCCCACCAGTGACCTCCACAAGGTCCCCAGCCCCACCAGTGACCTCCACAAGGTCCCCAGCCCCACCAGTGACTTCCACAAGGTCCCCAGCCCCACCAGTGACTTCCACAAGGTCCCCAGCCCCACCAGTGACCTCCACAAGGTCCCCAGCCCCACCAGTGACCTCCACAAGGTCCCCAGCCCCACCAGTGACCTCCACAAGGTCCCCAGCCCCACCAGTGACCTCCACAAGGTCCCCAGCCCCACCAGTGACCCGCACAAGGTCCCCAGCCCCACCAGTGACCCCCACAAGGTCCCCAGCCCCACCAGTGACCACCACAAGGTCCCCAGCCCCACCAGTGACCACCACAAGGTCCCCAGCCCCACCAGTGACCTCCACAAGGTCCCCAGCCCCACCAGTGACCTCCACAAGGTCCCCAGCCCCACCAGTGACCTCCACAAGGTCCCCAGCCCCACCACTGACCACCACAAGGTCCCCAGCCCCACCACTGACCACCACAAGGTCCCCAGCCCCACCACTGACCTCCACAAGGTCCCCAGCCCCACCAGTGACCTCCACAAGGTCCCCAGCCCCACCAGTGACCTCCACAAGGTCCCCAGCCCCACCAGTGACCTCCACAAGGTCCCCAGCCCCACCAGTGACCCCCACAAGGTCCCCAGCCCCACCAGTGACCACCACAAGGTCCCCAGCCCCACCAGTGACCACCACAAGGTCCCCAGCCCCACCAGTGACCACCACAAGGTCCCCAGCCCCACCACTGACCACCACAAGGTCCCCAGCCCCACCACTGACCACCACAAGGTCCCCAGCCCCACCAGTGACCCTCACAAGGTCCCCAGCCTCAGCAGTGACCCCCACAAGGTCCCGAGCCCCACCACTGACCCCCACAAGGTCCCCAGCCCCACCACTGACCCCCACAAGGTCCCCAGCCTCACCAGTGACCCCCACAAGGTCCCCAGCCCCACCAGTGACCCCCACAAGGTCCCCAGCCTCACCAGTGACCCCCACAAGGTCCCCAGCCCCACCAGTGACCCCCACAAGGTCCCCAGCCCTACCAGTGACCCCACAAGGTCCCCAGCCCCACCAGTGACCTCCACAAGGTCCCCAGCCCCACCACTGACCCCCACAAGGTCCCCAGCCCCACCAGTGACCCCCACAAGGTCCCTAGCCCCACCAGTGACCCCCACAAGGTCCCCAGCCCCACCAGTGACCCTCACAAGGTCCCCAGCCCTACCAGTGACCTCCACAAGGTCCCCAGCCTCACCAGTGACCCCCACAAGGTCCCCAGCCCCACCAGTGACCCCCACAAGGTCCCCAGCCCCACCAGTGACCTTCAACGACAAACATGTTTGGTCCTCACACGCAGGACGGAGGTCCCTCTGGCCCTGCTGGGTTCTCAGCCATGTTATGGTGTCCTCACATGAGTGTGCGGACGCTGCCCCCAGGGAAGCTGTCCGCACTTGTCCCATCTCCCATAAAGATATTCTTTATTCCGACTTTTACCCAGTTATTCATGCCTCCATCCTTGCCCGTTGACAGGGTTGTTGGTCTCGTGTTACTGGTAACAAACTCATAATATTGTGTCCCCGCGGCCTTCCTCCTACCACCATAACCGGCGGTGGGAAACGGCTCTGGCGAGGTTGCATATTGGCCATACGCGCTTAACTCACGGTCACTTAATGGAGCGCCGCCCTGCTCTCCCTTCACCTCCAGGAGGGAGAGCTTGATTCACGCCTGACACTCAGGTGAGGTGATTACAACCAGACAACCCGCCCCTCTACCCTCGCAAACTACTTTGAGAGTTAACCTAGGCATTTGTGATGGTCTGAAGGCATATTACTAGCAAGTGAACCTCCAAGGAGGTACACCTCCCCCCCTGGAGGACAGGCTGCAGGAGGCGGGGAACACAGCGTGGAGGAGTTACAAGGTCCCGCTCGAGCCCTCACAGCGCGGAGGAGTTACAAGGTCCCGCTCGAGCCCTCACAGCGTGGAGGAGTTACAAGGTCCCGCTCGAGCCCTCACAGCGTGGAGGAGTTACAAGGTCCCGCTCGAGCCCTCACAGCGAGGAGGCCTACCTTGAGCACACTGTGGAGGAGGGAACTGAAGCAGGTGTGGAGGTGGCTCTCGTTACACCGCTCGTAGAAGTCTATGATGTTGGCGGCGGAGGCCAGCAGGTTCTTGGCGATGAAGCCCAAACACTCCGGACTGGCGGAGAGCCGCTTCAGCAGCCCTATGCTCCTCTCCGCCTCGGCCACCGTCGTCTTACCTGCGCGGCACGCATGCCAGAGAGTTAGAAACAGTCTCAAGTGTAAACATTGGCAGTTTCACAGCTTCCCACTTGAGTCTATCAGCATAGACTTACGTTGATAAATGTCTATGCTGACAGACTTATTCCCAACTATTTAACAAAACAGATTAACTCTACGGAACATTAGAGATCAATTTGGGACTCTGTAATGTTGAAGCTTAGTGGGCTGCGTCAGTGTGGACCTGGTCCGTTACCCGTATAGCAACCACACCACTTCACACCATCAACCACACCAACCACACCAACCACACCATCGACCACACCATCGACCACACCATCAACCACACCATCAACCACACCATCGACCACACCATCAACCACACCATCGACCACACCATCGACCACACCATCGACCACACCATCGACCACACCATCGACCACACCATCAACCACACCATCAACCACACCATCAACCACACCATCAACCACACCATCAACCACACCATCAACCACACCATCAACCACACCATCAACCACACCATCAACCACACCATCAACCACACCATCAACCACACCATCAACCACACCATCAACCACACCATCAACCACACCATCAACCACACAACACACCATCAACCACACCATCAACCACACCATCAACCACACCATCAACCACACCATCAACCACACCATCAACCACACCATCAACCACACCATCAACCACACCATCAACCAGCCACCACCAATAATTACTTCACATCCATGCCCAACTACCTCAGTAGGCCACCCACTACACTGGTCCACAATATTAACTAGACCACACCAGGGCCACACCCCAGGGCTACACACACACACCAGGTCCACACACACCCCAGGGCCAAACAGGGCCCCACACAGGGCCACACACACACACCAGGGCCACACACACCCCGAGCCACACACCCCGGGCCATCACCCCAGAGCTACACCCCCAGGGCCACACACACCCCAGGGCAACACACCCCAGGGCCACACTCACCACCGTCCTCAGAGTCCATGCCCTCCTCGTGAAGTTGGCGGATCCTCCTGCGGGTGCCCAAGTGGCTCAGTGTCTCCCACGTCAGCTCCTGTGGGAGGTGGGGGGGGTTAGTATGTGGGGGGACAGTGGGGGGGGGGGTTAGTATGTGGGGGGACAGTGGGGGGGGGGTTAGTATGTGGGGGGGACAGTGGGGGGGGTTAGTATGTGGGGGGACAGTGGGGGGGGGTTAGTATGTGGGGGGACAGTGGGGGGGGTTAGTATGTGGGGGGACAGTGGGGGGGGGTTAGTATGTGGGGGGACAGTGGGGGGGGGTTAGTATGTGGGGGACAGTGGGGGGGGGTTAGTATGTGGGGGGACAGTGGGGGGGGTTAGTATGTGGGGGGACAGTGGGGGGGGTTAGTATGTGGGGGGACAGTGGGGGGGGTTAGTATGTGGGGGGACAGTGGGGGGGGTTAGTATGTGGGGGAACAGTGGGGGGGGGGGGTTAGTATGTGGGGGGACAGTGGGGGGGGGTTAGTATGTGGGGGGACAGTGGGGGGGGACAGTGGGGGGGGTTAGTATGTGGGGGGACAGTGGGGGGGGGGTTAGTATGTGGGGGGACAGTGGGGGGGGTTAGTATGTGGGGGACAGTGGGGGGGGTTAGTATGTGGGGGGACAGTGGGGGGGGTTAGTATGTGGGGGGACAGTGGGGGGGAGTTAGTATGTGGGGGGACAGTGGGGGGGGGTTAGTATGTGGGGGACAGTGGGGGGGTTAGTATGTGGGGGGACAGTGGGGGGGGTTAGTATGTGGGGGAACAGTGGGGGGGGGTTAGTATGTGGGGGGACAGTGGGGCGGGTTAGTATGTGGGGGGACAGTGGGGGGGGTTAGTATGTGGGGGGACAGTGGGGGGGGTTAGTATGTGGGGGGGGGTTAGTATGTGGGGGACAGTGGGGGGGGTTAGTATGTGGGGGGATAGTGGGGGGGGGTTAGTATGTGGGGGGACAGTGGGGGGGGTTAGTATGTGGGGGGACAGTGGGGGGGTTAGTATGTGGGGGGACAGTGGGGGGGGGTTAGTATGTGGGGGACAGTAAGGGGGGGTTAGTATGTGGGGGAACAGTGGGGGGGGTTAGTATGTGGGGGAACAGAGGGGGGGGGTTAGTATGTGGGGGAACAGTGGGGGGGGTTAGTATGTGGGGGAACAGTGGGGGGGGGTTAGTATGCGGGGGGACAGTGGGGGGGGTTAGTATGTGGGGGGACAGTGGGGGGGGGTTAGTATGTGGGGGGACAGTGGGGGGGGGTTAGTATGTGGGGGGACAGTGGGGGGGGGGGGTTAGTATGTGGGGGGACAGTGGGGGGGGTTAGTATGTGGGGGGACAGTGGGGGGGGTTAGTATGTGGGGGGACAGTGGGGGGGGTTAGTATGTGGGGGGACAGTGGGGGGGGGGTTAGTATGTGGGGGGACAGTGGGGGGGGGGGTTAGTATGTGGGGGACAGTGGGGGGGGTTAGTATGTGGGGGGACAGTGGGGGGGGTTAGTATGTGGGGGGACAGTGGGGGGGGGTTAGTATGTGGGGGGACAGTGGGGGGGGTTAGTATGTGGGGGGACAGTGGGGGGGGGGGTTAGTATGTGGGGGGACAGTGGGGGGGGGTTAGTATGTGGGGGGGGTTAGTATGTGGGGGACAGTGGGGGGGGTTAGTATGTGGGGGATAGTGGGGGGGGGTTAGTATGTGGGGGGATAGTGGGGGGGGGTTAGTATGTGGGGGGACAGTGGGGGGGTTAGTATGTGGGGGGACAGTGGGGGGGTTAGTATGTGGGGGGACAGTGGGGGGGGGTTAGTATGTGGGGGACAGTAAGGGGGGGTTAGTATGTGGGGGAACAGTGGGGGGGGGTTAGTATGTGGGGGACAGAGGGGGGGGGTTAGTATGTGGGGGAACAGTGGGGGGGGGGTTAGTATGTGGGGGAACAGTGGGGGGGGGGTTAGTATGTGGGGGGACAGTGGGGGGGGTTAGTATGTGGGGGGACAGTGGGGGGGGTTAGTATGTGGGGGGACAGTAGTATGTGGGGGGACAGTGGGGGGGGTTAGTATGTGGGGGACAGTGGGGGGGGTTAGTATGTGGGGGGACAGTGGGGGGGGTTAGTATGTGGGGGGACAGTGGGGGGGTTAGTATGTGCGGGGACAGTGGGGGGGGTTAGTATGTGGGGGGACAGTGGGGGGGGTTAGTATGTGGGGGGACAGTGGGGGGGTTAGTATGTGGGGGGACAGTGGGGGGGGTTAGTATGTGGGGGGACAGTGGGGGGGGGTTAGTATGTGCGGGGACAGTGGGGGGGGTTAGTATGTGGGGGGACAGTGGGGGGGGGGTTAGTATGTGGGGGAACAGTGGGGGGGGGGGGTTAGTATGTGGGGGGACAGTGGGGGGGGGTTTGTATGTGGGGGAACAGTGGGGGGGGGGGTTAGTATGTGGGGGGACAGTGGGGGGGGGTTAGTATGTGGGGGAACAGTGGGGGGGGGGTTAGTATGTGGGGCCACAGTGTAGGGGGGCCACACAGTGTAGGGGGCCACACAGTGTAGGGGGGGGCCACAGTGTAGGGGGCCACACAGTGTAGGGGCCACACAGTGTAGGGGGCCACACAGTGTAGGGGCCACACAGTGTAGGGGGCCACACAGTGTAGGGGGCCACACAGTGTAGGGGGCCACACAGTGTAGGGGGCCACACAGTGTAGGGGGCCACACAGTGTAGGGGGCCACACAGTGTAGGGGGCCACACAGTGTAGGGGGCCCCACAGTGTAGGGGGCCACACAGTGTTGGGGGCCACTCAGTGTAGGGGGCCACACATTGTAGGGGGCCACACAGTGTAGGGGGCCACACAGTGTAGGGGGCCACAGTGCAGGGGGCCACAGTGTAGGGACCACAGTGTAGGGGGCCACAGTGCAGGGGGCCACAGTGCAGGGGGCCACAGTGTAGGGGGCCACACAGTGTAGGGGGGCCACACAGTGTAGGGGGCCACACAGTGTAGGGGGCCACACAGTGTAGGGGGCCACACAGTGTAGGGGGCCACACAGTGTAGGGGGGCCACACAGTGTAGGGGGGCCACACAGTGTAGGGGGGCCACACAGTGTAGGGACCACAGTGTAGGGGGGCCACACAGTGTAGGGGGGCCACACAGTGTAGGGACCACAGTGTAGGGGGGCCACACAGTGTAGGGGGGCCACACAGTGTAGGGACCACAGTGTAGGGGGGCCACACAGTGTAGGGGGGCCACACAGTGTAGGGACCACAGTGTAGGGGGCCACAGTGTAGGGGCCACACAGTGTAGGGGCCACAGTACCCACCTTACTGCGGTAGTCACTTCCCGGGCCGGGGGTCGAGGCTGGCCCTCTGCTCCTCACACTGCCTGACGCCTGGAGGTGGGCCGCGGCCTCGGACGACGACCCGCTGTTGTCCTCGTCCTTGTCCCCCCTGAGGGCCCCGGCCCGGGCCCCCGTGGCCCGCCCCCGCAGGCTGCTGGAGGGGGCCACACCCGGGCCACCCTTGTCCCTGCTGGCCACACCCTGGAGGCGACGGAGCAGGTTGGAAGACTGCCGGACGGGGCCGGATGCCAGGTCGCGGGTCGAGGACGTCACCGGATCCGGCTCCGGCCTGGCTGGGGGCTCGAACGTGCTGAAGCAGTCCAACACCAACTGTTCCTGCAGCCTGTTGGTGCCAGCATCAGGTTAGGTCTCCAGCCTCACATGTATTGTGTAATATTCACATATGTGTATATCCAACATGTATAGCAATATATTCATATGTATACCCTAGACATGTGCACCCCTGCTACACCCCCCGGGGGAGGGGGGGGGAGGGGGACAGGCAGCCTACCTGACCAGTGCAGGCTGCAGGTCGAGCGCCCTGTTGCCCGCACTATTAGCGCGGGATATCGGGGCACCGAACTCGAGCAGGTCGAGTACACTCTCCCAGGCGACGTTCATCTGACATGCGGCGAGGTGTAGCGGGGTGTTGCCCAGGGTGTCGGTGGCCGCAGGCGCCGCACCGTACTTCAGGAGCAGGTAGGTGATGGCGGAGTTGCCGCGTGCGGCGGCGAGGAACAACACCGGCAGTGTGTAGAGGTAGTCGCGGGTGTACAGGTCGCTGAAGGTCAACCTCGCGCCCTCACTACTCGTGTAGGTTATCAGTCGCTCTCGCGCAACGTCGGGGTTAAGGACGAGGAATCTGGAGGCGGCGGGGTCACCGCTTGCGGCACCGCGGGTGGCGGCGGTGGTCCGCGCGGGCCCGCTGGCGGTGGCGGCGGCGCTGGTGGCTGAGGCGTGGGTGTCCCAGGTACATGGGTGCACGTCGGAGAAGGTGAAGTAGCGGGGTTCTGAGCGGTCCCGCTCCCCGCGCGGCTCCGTCAGGCGCGTGGTGCTGTTCTCTGTGGAGATGACCGTCCGCGGCACCACCAGCCATGATGCCGAGCCCGGCATGCTCAGCCGCACCTGCTGGGTGGAAGATATGCTCTGTACTCTCCTGTACACTCGCCTCCGGCACGCGCGCGCAAAACGCCTCCGGCACGCGCGCGCAAAACGCCTCCGGCACGCGCGCGCAAAACGCCTCCGGCACGCGCAAAACGCCTCCGGCACGCGCAAAACGCCTCCGGCACGCGCAAAACGCCTCCGGCACGCGCAAAACGCCTCCGGCACGCGCAAAACGCCTCCGGCACGCGCAAAACGCCTCCGGCACGCGCAAAACACCTCCGGCACGCGCAAAACACCTCCGGCACGCGCAAAACACCTCCGGCACGCGCAAAACACCTCCGGCACGCGCAAAACACCTCCGGCACGCGCAAAACACCTCCGGCACGCGCAAAACACCTCCGGCACGCGCAAAACACCTCCGGCACGCGCAAAACACCTCCGGCACGCGCAAAACACCTCCGGCACGCGCAAAACACCTCCGGCACGCGCACAACACCTCCGGCACGCGCACAACACCTCCGGCACGCGCACAACACCTCCGGCACGCGCACAACACCATATTCCACACAAATATGATGGTGGCCAACAACTTGGCCACCATCAATATAATAGAGAGAGCAGCTTCTGTGGCTAGCAGGAACGGATCCAGGCTACTAATCATGGGAGACTTCAACCATGGGAAGATAGATTGGGGGAACAGAGACCCGCATGGAGGACCAGACACGTGGAGAGCTAAGCTGCTGGATGTGGCAACAAGAAACTTTCTAAGTCAACACGTCAAGGGACCGACAAGAATGAGAGGAGAGGATGAACCAGCCTTGCTTGATCTGATATTTACCCTAAATAAGTCGGATATAAGGGAAGTTAAGATGGAAGCGTCCTTGGGAATGAGTGATCATAGTGTATTGAGCTTTGAGTACCTGGTTGAGCTAGGAATTATCACCCCCAAAAAAGAACTGGGAAACAAAGGGCTGGCGTACCGAAAGGGGAATTGTGAGATGAAAAGTTTCCTAAGGGAAATACCTTGGGACACAAACCTCAATGAACCAACCCATCCTCCGAATTGACAGTACGATTTAATACCAAGTGTAATTAGTACATTTTCTTACTGTCATAAACAGTGCATAATTGCACTTATGGGGCTGTTACATTTACCCAACTCCCTCCCCCGATTTAACTCTCCTCGTTTTCTGTTAAGACTCAGAATTTTAGGATGAAGTTTTCAATTTCAATTTGCTATACACAAGTTTTAAATATCAGGAATTTCTTTCAGGTTTATTAAACAATAGAGATTTTATACAAAATTTTAAAATATCCTGAGTTACTTTACAATTTATTGATATATTTTAGTTTTGTTTTATTAGTTTTATAAAACTGTAATATCAATATAGCTATAGGTTAATTACTAATTATAATTAAGAAGCAATAAAATTATCGTCAAAAACTAAGAAGGTTAGGTTAGGTCGTGGTTTTCTATTCAGTTTTTCAGGTAAATTCAAATATTCACAATATATCTGACAGTACGATTTATACTAAGTGAAAATAAGTACAATTTCTGACTGCTATGAATAGTACATAATTGCACTTATTTGGCTTCTTACATTTACCACCCCATTTTTGCAGGACGGGCTGGATGAAGATAGGTGTAGGGAGCAGGAGACCAGATACGAGGTATCACTTGCGAGATGAAATACTTCAAGAGTCAGAGAGAGAGAAAGACCTGGGGGTTGATATCACGCCAGACCTGTCCCCTGAAGCTCATATCAAGAGGATAACATCAGCAGCATATGCCAGGTTGGCTAACATAAGAACGGCCTTTAGAAACTTGTGTAAGGAATCTTTCAGAACTTTGTATACCACATATGTCAGACCAATGCTGGAGTATGCAGCTCCAGCATGGAGTCCATATCTAGTCAAGCATAAGACTAAACTGGAAAAAGTTCAAAGGTTTGCCACCAGACTAGTACCCGAACTGAGGGGTAAGAGCTACGAGGAGAGACTACGGGAATTAAACTTCACTTCGCTGGAAGATAAGAGTTAGAGGAGACATGCTCACCACATACAAGATTCTCAAAGGAATTGATAGGGTAGATAAAGACAGGCTATTTAGCACTAAGGGACACAGGTGGAGACTTCAGTACCCACATGAGCCACAGAGACGTTAGAAGGAACTTTTTCAGTGTGGGAGTAGTTAACAGGTGGAATGCATTAGGCAGTGATGTGGTGGAGGCTGACTCCATACACAGTTTCAAGTGTAGATATGATAGAGCCCGATAGGCTCAGGAACCTGTACACCTGTTGATTGACAGTTGAGAGGCGGGACCAAAGAGCCAGAGCTCAACCCCCGCAAGCACAACTAGGTGAGTACACACACACACACACACACACACACACACACACACACACACACACACACACACACACACACACACACACACACTAAAACATGTTTTTATTTGGTTGCCATAATGCTGAGGGCCCGCTCCTTACCATGAGGAAGGTTGCCATAATGCTGAGGGCCCGCTCCTTACCATGAGGAAGGTTGCCATAATGCTGAGGGCCCGCACCTTACCATGAGGAAGGTTGCCATAATGCTGAGGGCCCGCTCCTTACCATGAGGAAGGTTGCCATAATGCTGAGGGCCCGCACCTTACCATGAGGAAGGTTGCCATAATGCTGAGGGCCTCCACCTTACCATGAGGAAGGTTGCCATAATGCTGAGGGCCTCCACCTTACCATGAGGAAGGTTGCCATAATGCTGAGGGCCCGCACCTTACCATGAGGAAGGTTGCCATAATGCTGAGGGCCTGCTCCTTACCATGAGGAAGGTTGCCATAATGCTGAGGGCCCGCTCCTTACCATGAGGAAGGTTGCCATAATGCTGAGGGCCCGCACCTTACCATGAGGAAGGTTGCCATAATGATGAGGGCCTCCACCTTACCATGAGGAAGGTTGCCATAATGCTGAGGGCCTGCACCTTACCATGAGGAAGGTTGCCATAATGCTGAGGGCCTCCACCTTACCATGAGGAAGGTTGCCATAATGCAAAGGGCCCGCACCTTACCATGAGGAAGGTTGCCATAATGCTGAGGGCCTGCACCTTACCCTGCGGAAGGTTGCCATAATGCTGAGGGCCTGCACCTTACCCTGCGGAAGGTTGCCATAATGCTGAGGGCCTGCACCTTACCCTGCGGAAGGTTGCCATAATGCTGAGGGCCTGCACCTTACCATGAGGAAGGTTGCCATAATGCTGAGGGCCCGCACCTTACCATGAGGAAGGTTGCCATAATGCTGAGGGCCTGCACCTTACCATGAGGAAGGTTGCCATAATGCTGAGGGCCTGCACCATACCTTGAGGAAGGTTGCCATAATGCTGAGGGCCTGCACCTTACCATGAGGAAGGTTGCCATAATGCTGAGGGCCTGCACCATACCTTGAGGAAGGTTGCCATAATGCTAAGGGCCTGCACCATACCTTGAGGAAAATTGCCATAATGCTGAGGGCCTGCTCCTTACCTTGAGAAAGGTTGCCATAATGCTGAGGGCCCGCTCCTTACCATGAGGAAGGTTGCCATAATGCTGAGGACCCGCTCCTTACCATGAGGAAGGTTGCCATAATGCTGAGGGCCCGCTCCTTACCATGAGGAAGGTTGCCATAATGCTGAGGGCCCGCACCATACCTTGAGGAAAATTGCCATAATGCTGAGGGCCTGCTCCTTACCTTGAGGAAGGTTGCCATAATGCTAAGCGCCTGCACCTTACCCTGAGGAAGGTTGCCATAATGCTGAGGGCCTCCACCTTACCCTGAGAAAGGTTGCCATAATGCTGAGGGCCTGCACCTTACCATGGGGAAGGTTGCCATAATGCTGAGGGCCTGCACCTTACCATGAGGAAGGTTGCCATAATGCTGAGGGCCTGCACCATACCTTGAGGAAGGTTGCCATAATGCTGAGGGCCTGCACCATACCTTGAGGAAGGTTGCCATAATGCTGAGGGCCTGCACCTTACCATGAGGAAGGTTGCCATAATGCTGAGGGCCTGCACCATACCATGAGGAAGGTTGCCATAATGCTGAGGGCCTGCACCATACCATGAGGAAGGTTGCCATAATGCTGAGGGCCTGCAGCATTAGTCTAGTGTTAAGAGCTCTGAGTAATACACGTGAAGGTCTGTTGAGTTAATGTATTACTGAAGTGTCTGGGCCGACCGTGTTCCTTGATGTAGGGGGGGGATATAGGAGGAGCCAGGGGGGTGGATAGGTGGAGCAGGGGGGGGGGTGATAGGTGAAGCAGGGGGGGGTGATAGGTGAAGCAGGGGATGGGTGGATAGGGAAGCAGGGTACCTCACAGGAGTCTACAAAACACACATCTAGAGAGAGTATCATTTATAAGATCTATGAACTTTATGACTTCTGAAGTTCCTTGTATTCAGGCGTCTGAGATGTCCTCCAGCTGTCTCTCGGCATGGTACAGCATGGAGCAGCATGGTAGAGTATGGTACAGCATGGAGCAGCATGGTACAGCATGGTAGAGTATGGTACAGCATGGTAGAGTATGGTACAGCATGGGGCAGCATGGAGCAGCATGGAGCAGCATGGTACAGCATAGGGCAGCATGGTACAGCATGGAGCAGCATGGTACAGCTTGGGGCAACATGGAACAGCATGGTACAGCTTGGGGCAACATGGAACAGCATGGGGCAGCATGGTACAGCATGGAGCAGCGTGGTGCAGCATTGTGCAGCATGGGGCAGCATGGAGCAGCATGGAGCCGCGTGGTGCAGCATTGTGCAGCATGGGGCAGCATGGGGCAGCATGGAGCAGCATGGGGCAGCATGGGGCAGCTTGAGGTAGTATGGGGCAGCATGGTACAGCTTGGGGCAGCATGGTGGAGCGTGGTACGGCAGGGTACAGCATGGAGCAGTGGGGTACAGCATGGGGCAGCATGGTACAGCTTGGGGCAGCATGGTACAGCTTGGGGCAGCATGGTACAGCTTGGGGCAGCATGGTACAGCTTGGGGCAGCAT